CAACCCGATCAGAAATTTAATGGGTTTGCCACCTTAGTTAATGGGGTCCCCCTTAGGCTGCCTAGTTGGTACCCCATTAGGCGCGTCACGGGGCGAACTGAGGGTCCATCGTAGGCTGCCCCAATAACCTAGCTAAAACTGTTGAAAACAATATATATTTCTGCGTTTGGGTTAAATATATGTGACCGTAATTTAATTCTTCCTTATCTGTACGGCCGATAAACTCCATAATCTGCATAGCACGCATGGTAAATCAGGCACATGCTCTTATGATAATTGTATCAAATTTAATGATGTACCTACACAAAAAATACAAAGGGTTAGGTAAACTTTCTTTCCTATTGGGGCACACTAGAGAGGACCACATCTACGCCCCGTGACGATGGCATTCTAGGACCACATGTGGTTAATTTGGCAGCCTAGAGTGGACCCCATCAGCACCCCACTAAGGTTTCTGATCGGGTGTATATACCAGTGATTGGTATAATCGTATAATATATAACTACATATACTGTTCTCGTTTCCCATTTCGCCATCTGCTGGATCTTTAATAAAACAGTACAAATATTTCACAAAAAATGTGCCTACATGGGACGATGGGACCACCTGTATATCTCTTACATCGTGACGTTACAACATGATGTAAAAATAAATAAATAAATAAATAACAAGGTGTGGCATTGCGCATCCCTTTTGATTGACCAATCAGGAACGCTTCCATCATGTCGCCATGTCTGTCTGCGAATTTCGAAAGCCTATAAAATACCAAGCGTATTAACATCAAGAAACTCGTGAAACAATATATATTTTTTATTTCAATATTTTCATTCCAGTTGTTTCAGTGACCAAACGCACAATTCATGAATATTTACACAGAAAAAACTGACTAAATAGGTAAACATTCATCAATTGACGTATATGTATATTCATACGTATGTCTGTATATATATATATTTCACTTTGAGGTGGTTGCGGGGGATAGGTCTTAGTTTCAACTTTGGCCACTTTGTTCCATTGTATAGGTACTTCGGNCACAGAAAAAACTGACTAAATAGGTAAACATTCATCAATTGACGTATATGTATATTCATACGTATGTCTGTATATATATATATTTCACTTTGAGGTGGTTGCGGGGGATAGGTCTTAGTTTCAACTTTGGCCACTTTGTTCCATTGTATAGGTACTTCGGCGCTGTAGTAGTTACATCTTCCTGAAATATGGCGTCGCGATGGAAGACGCAGAACGGCACGAAAATAAGACCTCGGAACGCCACACCTTGTATATTCTTACATCATGAATACAATTACAGTCGGAGCTGTCGGCCTAATATCTTCAAAAAAGTATAGTACATCAATGCGTTATTCCTACTGTTGTTCCTCTTTTTTCCGTTTGCTTCCTCATTCCTGTTGTTTCCTTATCCCTCTCTCTTATCGCATTTGCGTGCAAAGGCCCTTAGAGAAGCAGCTGCTGCTGCCACCGCTGCTCATGTCGTGATGCGCGCTGTCCGCTGTCGCCGCCGCCGCCGCCAATTGCTATGATGCTATGTACGTACCTAACTATCATACGTCTATGGATAGTGAGAAACTGTGCACTTGTGCAGTCTGCAGCAGTAGTATATGATCTGATCTGTGTATGACTGTAAGTGGGACGGGTATATGCAATCGACCATGTACCCAAGTGTAGTATTGTAGTCTGTTGTGCGTGGAGTCCGTGAACGGAGCTCTTCGCGGTACGCGTCTTCTTGTCTGCCGTCAGTCTGACCTGAAGGACCCTGGAATGTAAAAGAGCCGCATTGGTGCAGGTTAAGAACTCTACGGTTCTCAGGAATCGCGAGAAACCGGCGAACCAAGAGAGAGAGAGAGAGAAAGATTGCCGAGTGGAGTGCGTCCCCATCTTCAACGGTTGTCCTCACCCAGAGGAGTGCGAGTTCTGGAATTCCTACGCGTATTTAATGTAATCCTGGTATCGTTTTTGAGAAGAATGAGCGGAGTAACTTCGGCCTACGTTATACTAATAAGGTACCTGTACTCCTGTACCAAGCAACATGCGCGCGCCAGAGCCTTGCTGATGTCTCGCTGAGTCGAGCAAATTGATAGCACGGCACTCACGATAGCCACGATAGCTGCAGTGATAGCCCAACACAACCACTTATACGGCACTTACCCAGTTACCCACTACTACTCCACACACACATACATATGCCTATATGTATATATATTAGCAATCAGCATTCTATCTCGGAACTCGGAACACACACAAAAATGGCGGTGTCGCTGCGCTGCCGCCGCCAGCGCGCCGACTCCGCTTCTGCTGCTGTTGCGATTGCTGCCGACGTCGCCGTCACCACAAAGTGAGTGCTTCGGTTTTTGAACAACTCGAGTACATTAGGCTATTTTTCGGTACTCATATCAGTGGTCGTAGTCGCCGGAGTGCATTTTAGTGCGTGAGTGTGTGCGTGTGAGCTACTCCTGTTGGTGCATTTTAGCAAGAGAACGCCGCTTCCGTAGTGAGAAAACGAAAGAGAGGGAGAAAAAGTGTTCAGAGGGTTGCTGCTGCCGGCAATAACGCGCTGTGAAAGGGTAGTGAGGGACGCGCAGACGAGGATGAGTTTCGGTGATCGAGCAACGACGCCGGGAGCACGTGCTGCTGCCGCATTGGACAAGAGTAATCCGGGCAAAGAGGCAGCGCGCGAATACCTCCACCAGCCTCGGTTCCTTCACTGCCATCAGGTGAATTTATCTTTTTTATGGTTCTTGGTTGTTTTGCAATTTTTTTTTTTTTACTATTATGGGTGGCGTTCGCTTAGGTATAGCGAACAGCTGCGGTCAGGTCAGTATCCTGTGTTCTATTACACACACGCTCACACATATTCACATACAGATATACACTGTCTAGCACGTTTTTGGAGCAATCGCAATGTGCATGCTAAACCATTCAAGTTATTGGTTAGGTTTGTTGTGTTGCTTTTATTTTATTTCATTACACTTAAAGCACCGTGAGCATACAGTGTATTTGTTGTTTATGATTACATTGCAAACAATAATGTGATAATTTAACCAAAATGAACAATGCATCGGAAACGTTTTTTAAGTCATGAAACATACAATTATTAAAAACAAACACATCGATTAAATTATTTTCAATAAACCATCTTAAACTTGTATCGTAATTATTTTAAAATAACAAATTGATTTTTAAATATAACTATTAGTGTACGTAATTATTTTACATCATCAATTTTTGTTATACTAGTTGTAACCCACATTCTCTCTATTTTGTGTTTCAGACTCAATAGTACGCTTAAATTGGTCAACCTAGCTTACTAGTAAGAGGGTTTGAAAACTAATGCTTACTCTAGTTTGTCCTGTAAACTTTGAAAGACTGCTGATAATCAAAAAGCACTGCGATGTCAAAAAGTAATATTTTAATGGAAGTCAATTTAATAGGCTGTGTTGAGAGTATTTAGACTTTCAACCGAAACCAAATATAAGAAGAAAAGCTTAGTTATATTTTGTACTGTGTACATGTGAAAAAAAATCCAAAAGGCTCATTTTCCTTAATGCCGATGCCGGCCGAATACCACGAAAACGCCAACTTTGCTCTGGGGGCCTATCAGGACACCAGCAACATGACGGCCAATATGTATAGGGTAGGAGGTAAGTTCACACACATATTTTCATATTAAATACACTTAAGCAAATAGAATATGATAAAAACACCAAAACATATTGCACATATTTCTCTATGATATTTATACTAATTCAAACCATGTAAAGAACTCTGATGCTCTTGATTTTAACACGTACCTGTTGATTATTAGTTCAAACAATGAGTGGCGGGTTCATGTTATACACGATATACACTATAAAAACTTGATGAATTAAGTTACGTACACTCTTGTCATCTTCAAAAGTTTGTACAAGCATTATTTATTAATTTAGTATAGAGTAAAGAAGTAAAGAATTTTAAAAACCAGCCCAAAGCTTTGGACATCCTCTATTCATATCAAATATACCTTGAAACTGTTTGTCTAAGGACAAAAAAAATAAACAAAATACAAATCATCAGATTGTATGTACATAAAAGAGGTTTGAGGCATCAGTTAGGCATCGGGATGACTAGCAAAGAGTAGTGTGTTCACAGGTTTAAACAAAAAGCATCACCATGATTATCTAGCCATCGTTTCGCTCCGCTTCATCTTCGTCCTTGCGTGTCTCGTATATATAATATACATTATACTATATAACAACACGCATGGGTAATGTGTACGTGTATCGTAACATTCGTAACGCCGTTACTGCTCGGCTGTCTGAGCCCTGAGCTAGCCCAGCAGCATGAGTGTATATATCTCACCTCCCCCCGTTCCATTAGCCGGGCGCGCTTGCATTCCCTCCTTTTCCTCCTTTTCATCTGTTATACATTTTCCCTCTCTTTCTCGCTCCATATAGCTGGACGACCCTATACTGCTGCTCCTCCCTGCGATCCCCCGTTGCCGGTGTGGTGATGCTGCTCTTCCCCCTCGATCGCCGTGCACCCCGACTCGACGAGCAAATGAAAGGTATGAGCCAGCCAACCAGGCGACCATCCGTCCATCCGCTTGCTCTATGCTCTTTCGCCGGTCCGTATGTCCGCACACCGCGTTCTTTCTCTCTCTCTCTCTCTCTCTCTCTCTCTCTCTCTTTTGCTTCCTTGCTATCTTTCTCTCTGTATACACCTTGTGCCAATGCCGCTGCTACCGCTGCCGTAGCTTTCGCTACTGCTCCTCTTCCTCCTCCTTCTTTATACTCAACGGCCGGTGTTGCAGTTGCACACCTTAAGTATATACTTACTTACCAGGCTTATATTTATGTACTTCTCTCTCTCTCTCTCTCTCTCTCTCTCTCTCTCTCTCAGTGATGTGCATACACTGCACCATAAGTTGTACTTACCGTTGACTTGCTCCGATTTCGCGTGGGTGTATGGATGATGTGCGTGAATTTGTACTCGAGCGTTCATTATTTCAAAAATCGAGCTTTACCAACTCCCATCCCTGCAAGTAAAATTCTTGCATTAGTCACGTCATCTTCAAATTTGACAAATGTCTCAACAAAAGTAGTGAAAAATATAAAGTTGCAGCAAAGGTACAATCAATCCAAAAATTATAGTAAAGAAGTAAATTCAAAATTATTCGAAATTGTAATAGAGAAGTAGCCAAGTGTAATTGAAACTTCTAAAAATATGTTTAGTAGCTATATCGATATTATATTTATCCCCAAAATAAAGAACATTAGACTGTAAATCAACTGTTGAAATCCGTTAAGTTCAAAAAGCAAACAAAAATTGTTGTTATACCTACTCAAACGCAAAAAACAAAAAGTAAATTTTGTCTTATAGCTTTAATCAAACTAATAATAAAAAAACAAAGTCATGTACCTAGAACATTCTAAAAAAAATTTTATGATATGAATCTCTTAACGTAGAAAAAAATTTAGTAAATTTACAATTTAACTTCACTCGCGGCTCTTTATTGAAACATTGAGGATAAATGAGTATAATATTATATATTCTGCTGCTGGTTGTACTTAATAGCTTGTATTGATAAGCGGCAGAGGATGAATTTTCTTAAAATCATGTGCAGAAATCGATGTACCTATAATTATGTATAATTATGATTTCGAATTTGATATGACCCTTTATACTTAACTATCCACCATTAAAATTCTTATACTTTCAAAAATTCATAACAAATTGTAATCGAAAGACACATTAATGTTCACTCGAATATTTTTTATCTCGAAAGGAAAAAAGTATTTACACTATATTTGAATATTACCATAAAACATTCTGTTCCATACTATTCGCTCCGAGCCGATACAGAGGTTGCGCCCCCTCTAACCAAAATCAGGCAACATTTCTTGCATGTAAACAAACGGTTTAGAACATATATACATACGTACAGCTGCTTGTGATTGGCACTTGGCAAGCTAGAGAGAGAACGACGATCCTCTCCTGCTGTCTTATTCAGCCAATCACAAGCAGCTATACGCATGTATATATGTTTTAAACCGTTTGTTTACATGCAAGAAATTTTGCCTGATTTTGGCTAGAGGGGGCGCAACCTCTGCATCGGCTCGGAGCGAATACTTTAAGAGTTAATTTTGCTATTGATTTTTTCGGAGCATATAATTTCAACGAGTACTGCCAAGCTGAATACGAACGCACTTTTCGGAATTGAGAAATCGAACATTTTCATGGTATCTCTATATATATTCTTTGACCATCAGCCCTCAGGCGCCTCATCAATGTTTTTAAAGCTGCAAATAATTACCCAAAATTTGAAACATCACTAACCGTTTTCCACATGCTCTGCATTTATTATCCACAAAGTTTTGATACACATGTATTTTTGGATAATCTAATATGTATGCACTGTGGAATTCTTGGTGAAGTTGTAAGTTCTTATCCAGAGCCAAAGTTGGCAGGAATGACTTAGGGATCTGACTAGGATCGAACTGACGATTCCTTGAGCAGCGATGTTTCCGAGGCTATAGTACTCTGAGCCAACGACTGCTCCATATGTATGATTAATCATACTTATGTTGGTCGAATATATAGATGTACTGATAATACGCTCAGGCCAGGGGCGGTGGAGCAGCATTCGCTTGAGTGGTGGTCTGGAAACCCAGTAAGACGCCGTGTTAAAAACAACATATCAAAAACGCCCAGCCATTTCTGTTACGAAAAATGTAGTTGTATTCGACGTGATAGTTTTTATAGTGGACGCGCAAAATTATAGCAGTTTTGACTATTAAACGCCTTCTTATTGATACGTTTAACATCCCACATCAACAAAAAATGTTGTGTATCTCATTATAATTACCCTACTTCTTCAAGGATTTCTGATTACCTATACATAAATTCAACGACTGTCCAGAGTACTCAATTTTTTATCCTTAGTTGGCAACTCAATTAGATTTTCGTATGTCTCCCCGGTCCTCGCCCCCCCCTGCCCCCCGCTGATATTATCGAACATTCTCAAAGTAGCTAGTTTTTATAGACAAAAATAACTTGGAAACATGGTATCAGATGAAACGTGACCTTATAAAAAAAAATTTTTCATTGAAAAAAGTGTTTTTTAAAATTTTCAAAAACGTAAAAATTGTTTGTACTGCATTAGAGTTCCGGATTTTGAGGAAAGCTGTGCCGAATTCAGATTATGGTTTTCAGTTAAACAAGCTTTAGAAGCGATTTTGTAGAAAAGTTTCGCACCGCGTGAAAGAGAGGTAACACTCGCTGCCGTGCATTCAGCATAAGAGCGTCTCGTGAATTTGTTTACGTTCGACTTGATATATTTTTTTTTTTACGATTATCTTCTTCGCAAGTTAAGTTAAGCTATCGAAATTGATGTTTTTTGTTTTTTTTTGTCTTGAAGCATATTTCCATCACACAATACTGACCATTGAAGAATGTAAAATTATCTCTCCCGTAAATGAATAATGCGATTTCAGAAATATTTTTCTCGAAAGTTCGCCTACAAAGTTCATGTACACGTGTTATGTGCTCAAGAACACGATGTATTTTTTAGAAATCAGTAACACATTTCAGACACAATTACCCAAACTCCTAAATATCATTATATCAAATGTATATATTAATATATTATATCATAAAGTTGTTGACGACATTACATTTGAAATTTACGTAGTCCATAATTAACGAATTCTGTAGGTCAATTGTCCATTTATATCAATTAGGTAGCTGTATTATGTAAAAATTTACTTATAAATACTTTTGTATGAATATTATTTCATTGAGAAAATATAGGGCATGGTCATGTCCTCGCGTAAAATTTAGAATACTTGTGTATTCCACTAATAAGATAGTTAAACTCGTTATCTTATAAAATTAAAGCGAAAAATTAAATATTAAGATTTCGAAACCAGTGGCTATTTGTACGATACAGAAAATTTTTATCTAAAAGAGGAGTAGATTTATTTTGAGTAAGTCCATTTTTATGAAATGCTTGAAGCCAATAGTTTCCGTCGTCCATGATGACGAGCATGGTGACGCGATGCCAAAACAACAGCTGTCAGATACTGGAACTTGCTTCCAACGTCCATTTCCGAAAGTAGCCCGGTTTTGCTCCTATGGATCCATGGCTGATTGAAGTTTGTAGATGCACCTTTTTTGTTTGATACATTTTGATTCCTGATTACAATAGACAAAGGTGTTTCTTGAATTGTTTGTCAATCACTTTTGTTAATAACAGTTTTATTCAATATTGCGTTGATGTTTTTTTTTGGCTGAAAACAGATTCCATGCCATTCTTTGGCAGATTTTGGACAAAAAAACAAAACGGCATGCACCCTTTAGTTTTGAAATAAAACATTCCTGAAAATTACTGTATTTTTTACGGATTTCGCCAGTGTTTTACTCAGTTGTCACCCCATTATTTTCAATCCACCAGGACTCAAATTTTATCTTACAGTGTGTAGGTACTTTTAGATAGGAAAAAAAAAAATTATGATCACTCATTGCCGAAAGACTACAGGTGCGGTCGACAATTACCGTTCGTCACCTGGATTGTTCATTCCAAAATTGTAAAAAAAAAATTTACTGGTTATGGATCGGGTAGTAAGTTGTTTCCATAACCCATCAAACCTTTTGTATACATTTT